AGCAGTTGGTCCAGATGGCGTTTCACCATGGGTTCTGAGAGAATGTGCACCTGAGCTCAGCATTCCACTTCAACTGATTTTTCAGGCATCCCTGTGTAAAGGAGTTGTAGCTGATGTGTGGAAAAAGGCTAATATAGTTCCAATCTACAAAAGTGGAAGCAGGGAAGACCCCCCCTTAATTATAGACTGGTATCATTGACAAGTGTAATAGTCAAAATAATGGAAAAAATAATTAAAACTAAATGGGTAGAACACCTGGAGGAAAAAGATATAATATCAGACAGACAGTATGGTTTTCGATTTGGAAGATCCTGTGTAACGAACTTACTCAGTTTTTATGATCGAGCCACAGAGATTTTACAGGAAAGAGATGGTATGGGTTGACTGCATCTATCAGGACCTAAAAAAGGCTTTTGACAGAGTTCCCCATAAGAGGTTGTTCTGGAAACTGGAACATATTGGAGGAGTGACAGGTAAGCTACTAACATGGATGAAAAATTTCCTAACTGACAGAAAAATGAGGGCCATAATCAGAGGCAAGGTATCGGATTGGAGGAATGTCATGAGTGGAGTACCTCAGGCTTCAGTTCTTGCACCGGTAATGTTCATTGTCTACATAAACGATCTACCAGTTGGTATACAGAATTATATGAACATTTTGCTGATGATGCTAAGATAATAGGGAAGATAAGAAACCTAAAGGATTGTCATGCCCTTCAAGAAGACCTGGACAAAATAAGTATATGGAGCAACACTTGGCAAATGGAATTTAATGTGAATAAATGCCATGTTATGGAATGTGGAATTGGAGAACATAGACCCCACACAACCTATAAATTATGTGAGAAATCTTTAAAGAATTCTGACAAATGGATCTAGGGATGGTTCTAGATAGAAAACTGTCACCTGAGGACCACATTAAGAATGTTGTGCGAGGGACCTATGCTACACTTTCTAACTTCAGAATTGCTTTTAAATACATGGATGGAGAAATACTAAAGAAATTGTTTATGACTTTTGTTAGACCAAAGCTGAAATATACAGCGGTTGTGTGGTGCCAATATCTTAAGAATGACTTCAACAAACTGGAAAAGGTGCAACAACATGCCACTAAGTTGCTCCAAGAACTGAAGGGCAAGAGCTACGAGGAGAAGTTAGAGGCATTAAATATGCAAAAACTAGAAGCTGGAAGAAAAAGAGGCGATATGATCACTACATACAACAGGAATTGATAAAATTGATAGGGAAGAATTCCTGAGACCCGGAACTTCAAGAACAAGAGGTCATAGATTTAAACTAACGAAATAAAGCTGCTGGAGAAATATAAGAAAATTCACTTTTGTAAACAGAGTGGTAGACAGTTGGAACAAGTTAGGTGAGAAGGTGGTGGAGGCCAAAACCGTCAGTAGCTTCAGAGCATTATATGACAAAGAGTGCTAGGGAGACGGGACACCACGAGTGTAGCTCTCATCCTGTAGCTACACTTGTTAATTACACTTAGGTAATTACAGTGCTTAGCCGTGTAATGTGCCGGGAGCATCGCTGGTGAATTATGTCCAGAGTTGCATGTGCAGGAGGAAAAGATTAGGTATAGTGTATAGGTGGAGGCGGCGTCACTCTGAGCCATCCTACACCCATATTCAGAGAAAAGAACTAGGAATGTTCCCTATATATAAAATCCAGAACACCCCCAGTATCTAGGGGGCTATGATTGGAAAGTAAGAATAGTTAGTGCGGTGTATTACCCGTAATAAAGGTCGCGGAACACCAACACACGTTTACACCGTCCATAAACAAAATGATGACTAAGATAAGATATAACAAAAAAATGAGATATAGTATTGAAAGATGATAAGTACGGAAGAGTATGAACGAGTCCTAGAAAGGACTGTAGGTAACCCTCACCGGGAATCGACAGATGTTCCAATAATGTTTTGATTATCGAAGTGCTTCTCGAGCCTTCAAGATCCTTGAGAATCAAGCACAAAATCATGGAGGCTCATATTGTATGTGCACATTGGCATACGTGATCAATGGTCATGCAGGACCCCGATACGATTCAAACAAGATTGTTACATGATGTAGAAGAATACACGTGCTAGATAAGAAAATTGAGAAAATGGTTAAAATTACCCACAGGAAAGACGGCACCGATGGACCCGAAGGGACACGGAACCGAATTCGGGGAGGGTCCGACACCCAAACCAACTCGAACGTAAAGGGGGAGGGGGGAAGAAAACCCCCCACTCCGTGTAATATTAAGCCCCACTCAGAGGGTAGGAAAACCCAGGTGGGGTCCAATGGGGCCCAAGGCTCCCAAGTTAGCCCCCCAACCCAGGGAACCTCCATACCAGGACCCGGGGCCGAATCATCCTCCTTAGCCTCAAAATAAAAAGCCGGGGCAGCCGTAAAAACACTAAAAAAGGGGGGCCTACTAGTCAGACCCATACACAACAGCTGGAGGAACCGACTCGAATGCCTCTGTTGCCACCTTGGAAGGGGTAACTCTTGAAACTGCCCGAGTCTCAGAATCCTCTAACTAAACCCCGCCCTCACCCTGAAGCCCTCAGACGCTCCGAAGCCGGAAGCAAGGGGGGAAGTGGGGGGGGGGCAGAGACCAGAAGGAACCACAGCAGGGGAAGAACGAGGGGGTGCGAACTGAACCAAGGCCGAAGCAACCGACACCCCCAAGTTCGAGTCCCTATAAGCAAAGCGGGGCAGCCTCGGGGCATCCGGGGAAGCAATCAACTTAGCACGTTGCAGCAACCTAGCCTGCAACGCACTAGCTGCCTGCACCCGAAAAATATCATCAGTAGATTGGGTGAATCGAGTCACAAACAAGCAACAATCCTCACAGGACTCTGGGTCAAAGGTGTCACCGACCCAACAGGCAGCATGACGGAGACAAGAACAATGAGCATCGCCCTGAGACAAGCTTATCTTGAGGTTATCTTGAGATGATTTTGGGGCTTAGTGTCCCCGAGGCCTGATCCTCGACCAGGCCTCCTTTTTTGTTACACATCCTCAGGAAGCAGCCAGTAATGGCTGTCTAACTCCCAGGTACTTATTTACTACTAGGTGAACAGGGGCATCAGGGTGAAAGAACCTTTACCCAACTGTTTCCACCCCCACTGGGTATCAAACCCGGAACCTCAGAACTATGAATCCCGAGCGCTGTCCATTCAGCTGTCAGGCCCCTGACTAGTCACGTGGAGGTGACTCGGGAGGAACATAATGGTGAGGAACTTGTGTACATACACTAAGCATTAGGCAATTTATTATGGTAATGTTCAGAGTTCTAGCAGTTACTATTCTCAATGAAGGCCAGAGATACTGCTTTAGTAATCTTGCTAATCCAGCAGTTTTGTCCATCCAAATATCTTTAACCACCATGCTGCGCCGAGTTTATTGTTAAATTCCCCCCGTGCACATGAAATGAGTGTTCTCAAAAAAATGTTTTTTTTCTTTGTAAAATGATAAATTACCTTATCTGAACATGTTTATGTAAAAATAAATACCAAATTCCACTTACTTTGGGTGTGTGGACGTGGACAAGGTGCGCTGTGACGTCATCAAGGCTGGTCGCCCGTGGGTGACTCACCCAGCAAGGTCCCGCGGGCCATTCAAGCACCGGGTGCTGCCACATATATATTTTCAATTTGTTCTATGTATTTCCAATGCGGTTTTATTTGTTTTTTCTCGTATATGATGCATATTTGTGTCCTTTACCATATGTATACAATAGAACGTTCATAATGTTCCATGGAACTGTGATACATGTGTCAGTAATGTGTCCACAATAAATGTTTATTGTCGGAATATTACTTGTTAAAAATTCACTAAAATTACAATATGTACAGTTTCACACACTATTTACACAGTAACACTCGGTATTACACACTAAGTACTTCGGAAGTGAGTAATAATCAACCAAGTAGCCCACGGTACACAGCGCGACTTCGCTCTCAGTTCACCAGGTCCAGATAAATTTTTTCTTCCTGTTTCTTCGTTCTGTGTGCTTGCAAATAACGCACTCACGTACACTCTTGGCATTAGTACCTGTAGGTGGTATGCAGCCAAGCTTGTAAAATGTAAGGTAGTCTTGAAAAGATTACAAGAAAAGATTAATTTGTAAGGTAGTCGTGAAAAGATCGCTTTGTAAGGTCCCACACAGGAAGAAATTCAGCCAGCCTCAAAGAGTGTCTGTCAGTCTGGAAGAGATTCAGTCAGCCTCAAAGAGTGTCCGTCAGACAAGGAGAGATTCAGGTATTCTTGAAAATATCTATGGAAAACATCTATGCTACTTGTATCAGATGCATCATCATCATCAATGCAGAAAACGATTCATCTATGTATCATCTAAATAAATTGGAGATAGCATATGTGGGCAAGGGTGGCGCTCAGAGCTACAACTGGATACGCTCACTGTATCCTAGTACATCCTTCTCATAGGTGCTGTATCACTTTCATCTGACCTTTGTGTTAGGTCCTTATTGCGCCTAGCTTCACCAATATTATGACCCTTATGTTCTTCAAACAATAAGGTTTGAATTTCACAGACAAAGCGCGATCTTTCAACACCATGTCGGACAGTTGTTTGGGAGTCAAGAGGCGCGTGCGCCACCCATGGTTGCTCACCTCAGTACTAACTCAGCCAGCAGCCCTTAGGCATTCTGGGAATTTTTTCCAAGATGGCTGCCTCTCACTGGAGATCCTAAGAGTCCATTTCATACACAACCAACCTCGCACACCTTTAGAATGGGTACGAAAAAATAAAAAAAGAGTGTTCTCGGTTGGCGCAGTTTCCCACCGACCGAGAATACTCGGTTGGCGCAGTTAAGTCGTTAAACCTTTTTTTTCTCTACAATACTTTGATATCCATTCTGTTTATATGCTTCTCTACTCTATGACAGTGGCACATAGGGTAGTGGTGGTAACAATGACGGTGACATCACATACTAACAGACAATGTAAAAATAAAACCAAATTTGAAGACTCACTTGCTCATCTTGAGAAGGAAGAACCAGAAGCAAGCAGAGAGGAAGAAGAGGAGGGCCATCATAAAGTACAGGGCTGGAAGGGGCATCTCCCCAGCTGATAGGTAGTTGTCATCTGGATTCTTCTCTGTAATCTTACCAGGGAAAAATAATAAATATATTAGTACATTAATGAGTTTCTTCAGTATATGCTCTTACAGAGTTAAAGAAAAACAGGCCTGATGAATGATGATGATGATGATGATGATGATGATGAGAATCAAGCAGATGATGTAAATACATTTGATTCACCTTGTATATTATGGCCATGTTCGAAGTACAGAACCTTTAAGACAAAAACCAGCTTTTCTTTAGCAATCTATCTGGCAATAACAATACATCATTTGTTATTGTTGTAACACATTATGAACATGTGTCACATAGCTAACCTTAAATTTAGATAAAAGTTAACAGACATATATGAAATCTCAAGTAAATTACCTTAAAGCCGAGTCATTCCCTCATTCAAAACATTTCCAGAGACATGTACAGCATTTGTTAATTCAAACCAACTTTAGTACACTTAATACTTTTGATTTACATACAATATCAAATCTCATGAATGCAAGTCAGAAGACACCACTCATGTTCACTCGGGAACAAATGTCTTACAATCTTACCTGTAAATTCATATCAATAGTCGAGAATCCTTCCCCAGAGCCAAAATTCATGCAGTTGTGGAAGTTGAGATTATAGAGACCTTCCTCTTTTTCTTGAGCCACATACACTAAAAACTGTAAAATACGAAAATAAATACTGCATCATACAAAGGAACCCAACAGCATATCATTGGTCCAAATAATACCTAAAATTATAATGGTGTATAAATCCACAAGGGCAGTGATGAGGGTTCAAACTTACATCCAGGATGATCCCAGACGATATATCATGCTATTGTGATTTAAGTGTAGTTACAGGATGAGAGCAACACTCGTGGTGTCCCGTCTTCCCAGCACTGTCATATAACGCTTTGAAACTACTGACGGTCTTGGCCTCCACCACCTTCTCACTTAACTTGTTCCAACCGTCTCCCACTCTGTTTACATAACTAAATTTTCTTATATTTCTCCAGCAGCTTTGTTTCATGAGTTTAAATCTATGACCCCTTCTTCTTCAAGTTCCAGGTTTCAGGAATTCTTCCCTATCAATTTTTATCGATTCCTGTTACTATTTTGAACATAATGATCTTTTTCTTCTAGCTTCTTGAGAGATGATTTCGGGGCTTTAGTGTCCCCACGGCCCGGTCCTCAACCAGGCCTCCACCCCCAGGAAGCAGCCCGTGACAGCTGACTAACACCCAGGTACCTATTTTACTGCTAGGTAACAGGGGCATAGGGTGAAAGAAACTCTGCCCATTGTTTCTCGCCGGCGCCTGGGATCGAACCCAGGACCACAGGATCACAAGTCCAGCGTGCTGTCCGCTCGGCCGACCGGCTCCCTAAGTAAGTAGTATGGTATGTAAGGTATGTATGGTAGTAAGACCTTCTACGAAGCCAACAATTTTATCTACTACTTTTCCTTCTTCTACCGCTCTTTCTGACCTAAATGTTATCTCCTTTTCTTTGCCACCAAAAATTATCAGAGACCTTCAATCAACTGTGTTTTGCACCTACTGTATTTAGGATTTGGTGCCAGTTCCTTTCTGACTTCCAGCCTAATGTTTGTTTTATCTTGGTTGCTGCAGTGTTTGGCTTCCTTTACTGCTGCTTCAATTTTCTCCCTCTCCTTGGCCACTTGTGCATAGGTGAGTTACATATCTTTCTTGCACTGTTCTATTTCCTGTGTAACTTCCTCCATCTGTGCTGACTAAACCTGTTTTTCCTGTTGAATTTCCTTACCTAACCTATTGTAGTCATTTATGTTTAAATTTGCTTTAACTTCTTAGTAAGCTGTTTTTAAGAGTTTATTTTCCTCTTCCATGTCTTTGCAATTTGTTTCCAATTGAGTCTTGTATGGACCAATAGGCTTTCTACAATTACTTCCATTCAATACCCATTGTTTCGTGTTCTGTCTTGTGTTTGAATTTAATACCCATTGAATACCCATTGTTGAAAGTTCGTTTTTCACCTCATCCACCTCACCCAAATGTAGATATAAACCTCGAAGATGTGTAAGCTCTATTCAGTTTCAGTTGTGTGTTTGTAAACTAAAGTCTTTGAAAATGTAATAAGTTTTACGAAACGCGCTCAAGTGTCGCGTCAGACTAGAAATAAAAATGAATTTTGGAGAATTGATCTTTGAATTACCATCAACAGTGAAAAGAAACATAAGAAAGATAGAGAAAATTCGTGTTATATATATATATATATATATATATATATATATATATATATATATATATATATATATATATATATAATTAATATATATATATAATGATATATATATATATATATATATATATATATATATATATATATATATATATCATTGAATAACATCAAGAATGTCTGATTTTTTCTTTGTTTTTTTCAGTAATATTATTCAATAGTGTGTAGTGATATATTTATATAATAAAATGTGTGAACCATCGCTGTACTCAAAATTATGGTGCGCATATTAGTGATTCAATTACGACGTTCATAAAACAATAAACAAATAGTTTTGCCGTTATTACACTATGTACACATGTTATATATATAAGTATCTGCATGTTTTGTTCACCATAACAAACCACTAAGTTGGTGTGTATGTATGTATGTGTGTGTATATATGTATATGTATGTGTATATATATATATATATATATATATATATATATATATATATATATATATATATATATATATATATATATATATATATATATATATATATATATATATATATATATATATATATATATATATATATATATATATATATATATATATATATATATATATATATATATATATATATATATATATATATATATATATATATATATATATATATATATATATATATATATATATATATATATATATATATATATATATATATATATATATATATATATATATATATATATATATATATATATATACACACACACACACACATACACACACAGTGGTACCTCGCATAACGAATTTAATCCGTTCCATGTTCATCATGTGAAACGGACATCATACAAAACGAGTGTCCCCCATGTAACCAGTGTGATGCACTGTGTTTATTGTGAAATTCCCCCAGTGTGCATGACATCAAATGTTCCCCAAAATATCATTTTTCTTTGCAAAATGATAAATTACCGTCCCTGAACATGTCTATGTAAAAATAATTACCAAATTTCACTTACTTTGGCTGTGAGGACGTGGACAAGGTGCGCTGTGACGTCATCAGGGGCTGGTCGCCCGTGTGTGAAGCTCCCAGACACGGTCGCGCAGGCCATTCAAGCACCGCGTGTTGCCACAAATATATTTTCAAATATTTTTTCTATGCATTTCCATGCGGTTTTATTTGTTTCTTTTATCGTATATGATGCATATTTGTGACCTTTACAATATGTATACAGTAGAATGTTCATAATTTTCCATGGAACTGTGATACATGTGTCAGTAATGTGTCCACAATAAATGTTTATTGTCACAATATTACATGGTAAAAATTCACTAAAATTACAATATGTACAGTTTCACATACTATTTACACAGTAACACACTGTATTACACACTCAGTACTTTGGAGGTGCGTAATAGTCAACGAAGTAGTCCATGGCACACAGTGCGACTTTGCTCTCTTTGCACCAGCTACAGATAGATTTTCGTTTCCCGTTTCATCGTTCTGTGTGCTTGCAAATAACGCACTTGTGTGCACCCTTGGCTTTAGTACTTGTAGGTGGTATGTAGCCAAGCTTGTAAAGCATAAGGTAGTATTGAAACGATTATAGGAAAAGCTCAATTTGTAAGGTAGTCTTGAAAAGATCGCTTTGTAAGGTCCCACACAGGAAGAGATTCAGCTAGCCTCAAAGAGTGTCCATCAGTCAGGAAGAGATTCAGGTATTCTTGAAAATATCAATGAACAACACCACCATGGAAGCCGCTAACACTTCATCTATGCTACTTGTATCAGATGCATCATCACTGAACGCAGAAAACGATTCATCTATGTATCATCTATATAAATTCGAGGTGGCAAGGGTGGGGCTCAGAGCTACACCTGGATACGCTCACTGTAACATCCTCATAGGTGCTGTATCACTGGCATCCGACCGTTGTGTTAAGCCCTTATTGCGCCTAGCTTCACCAATGTTATGACCCTTATGTTCTTCGAACAATAGGGTCTGAATTGCACCGACTGAGCGCAATCTTTCAACACCGTGTGGGACAGGTGTATGAGAGCCAGAGGCACGTGTGCCACAAATGGTTGCTCACGCAGTACTAACCCAGCCAGCAGCCCTTGTCTTTCATATTCGTTATAGCAAAAGGTTCGTTCAGTGTTTGTTGGGTAGGCTGCTCCATTATGACAATCTTTCTTTGTTTCAAATGTGTTCCATTTGTTTTATATTTGTCACTTACGTCTCAATAATGGAGCAGCCTACCCGACAAACACTGAACGAACCTTTATGGTATTTGTCCATTTTTTCTAATTGTTTCAACAGTTCTTTTATTTTTCGTTTTTTTTTTTAAGAAACATGGAGCAGCGACCTGTAGACTACCGAACGAACCTTTTTGACATTTGTACTGGTTTTCAAAATTCTTCATTTTTTGTTATTATTTACGTTTTTTGTATGTAAGAAACATGGAGCAGCCTACCTGCCGACCACCGAACGAACCTTTTGCTATAAGACAAATGAAAAATAAATATTGAGCACATTTGAAGAAAGGAAAATGTCATAATGGTTTATTCAGTGTATGTAAGGTAGGCTTCTCTATTATTGAGACGTAAATGACAAATACAAAACAAATGGAACACATTTGAAACAAAGAAAGATTGTTATAATGGAGCAGCCTACCTGCCGAACACCAAACGAACCTTTTTGACATTTGTTGTATTTCAGAAATTTCATTTCTTTTTTCCTACAAAAACGTCAATGCTTTGCAACATCTCAGCAGTCACCCTTTTATATCCTAGCATCATTAGCATCTTTAAACAAGAACAACATAATTTATGTGCATCGTCGGAGGCGTCTAAGAATGTGCAAGAAGCAGCGCGACCCCACCATGTGGTGTTGACGTTACTCAAACCAGCGTTCGTCATACGGGACGATTTGACGCCGATCAGGCCGTTTGTTACCCAAAATATTCGTCTTTTGGGGCGATCGTTATGCGAGGTACCACTGTATATATAAATAAAATATGCACATTGCAGACCAAAATCATATACATACAGCATATGATTTGTGCCGTTTAAGGGTTAAAACACATTAAACAATTCTTGGTGGATGGTTGTGGGTTGGCTTGCACCATACCAGCCATGCTTGGGTATATTTCACTCTGGTTTGCACTCTCACTCCTGTCTTCTCCCTTTACACAAGTACACTAGTATAATTTATGTTTTGTGCACACTCTTCAGGTTATTTGCTGTTTCCCGCACAGTCACACACACATTATGTGAAGCAACCAATTTATTCTCACTGTTTCAACTCCCCATTTCACCATTTCATTCACCATCACCCTGAGTTAGCAGCATATGTTCCCAACTTGATTTTACTGACCTTGAAACTGTAGTAATCCTTGTCCTTTGTCATGTTAATTTTAACATCGCTACATTTTTGGTTGGTGGTGTCTTCGTATGGTACCTTGGTTGTGGTGGTCAATCCATCAGATATTCCTGTAACAAAAGAAGTGACCATTGTCTTTTTTGAAAAATAAAACAAGTATTTTGGGAGATAACTAACCTTAAAATACAAACCCCACGTCCAGCTACTGGTCAGACACAATGGTACCTAACCTGGCTGGCTGAGTGATGCTCTCATTTATTGAGTTATCCCATGGCCAATGTTGGAAAGATTTACAGAGGTACATAATAGGCACAGGAACTGAACCCCACAGTTCATTTAGTTAAACAAGTAACAATCTGTTGAAAGTATTTTCACAATTATTATTATTATTACAAACATATACATGCATACATACATACATACATACATACATACATACATACATACATACATATACATACATACATTCATGTATACACACATACCCAAATTCATATGCATATAACAGCATTTTTATATCACAAGTAATTCCAGAAGAGGTCAATAGCAGTATACATAAGCAGTGAGTCAGTCACACAGTTACTAGTCTTGCTCCACACCCACCCAACAGTCATGTGCAGGCTGGACCTATAGTAAGCAAATTTTGGATACTTGGCTAAGATTCCTGGCAATACATCATCTTGAATGAAGTATTTACACATTTTTTGGACATCACTGATGGTGATGATCTCTGAATTCCACAATTTTTTCACATTCCATCATATAATGATGCAAAGTATGTGAATAGTTCTGCTGACAAAGTTTACATTTTGTCAAATCTACATCAACAGATAATACAAACTCTCAGAGGTGCTTGTAGCCGAGTCTAAGCCGAGCTATGGTAACATCTAGAAATCTGTTAACCTTATTGGGCAATCCATACACGTGCAGGTCTTCCTTCAGAATAGAATAATGATCAATGAAGGAACTAGTGTGAATTTCACTTTGCCTGATTTTTGCTGTTCCAGGAATATATTACTGCCCACAGGCTGCTCAAAGGCAGTCCAAGATGGTAATCAATTCCCTCTTTATGAGTAAATATTTTAGCTAACTCATCAGTTCTATCATGCATTTGGAATCCAATATGGGAAGGAATCCACAGGAGACAAATTCTGACTCCATCATTGATTATTTCATTATATCTGTGTCTAGCTTCAGACACAAGCATGTCACAGTTATGCCTTGGGGAGCAGAGTGCGGTCAAGGATGACAAGTTGTCGCTTACAATTAACGTGTCAACATTGGATTCACATACAAGTTTGAGTGCAAAGGAGTATGGCAAACAACTCTGTTTGAAGAGTGGAGGCCCAGTTATTTATACACGTTCCACACTCATAGGAATAGGAACCATCTCCTGCTGTCACAACAAGTGCACTTCCAGTTGCACCATAGGACTGGTGCAAGGAGCCATCATTGTAAATAATTTGGGAGAGAGAGTGCACTCTTTGACCAGGACATCAGTTTAGCTCACGGCATTCTACCTTGCTTCTTGTTGCAGTATGGGTTGTTCTTTAACACTTTCGCCCGGGCATGACGCAGCATTGCGTCATCCGTTTACTGTCGGTAATACCGGGGATGACGCAGCATTGCGTCATCCACTTTAAATAATCGCCAAAAATCAGGTTTTTATCCGATTTTTTGGGGACTGGTTTTAAAATGCGCGCTGATGTCTTCCCATTTTCTTTGTTGAGCCTCGTGGCCCTCAGGCGGCTTGGCACACACCGTGGGCCCATTGTTTTCGCTCCACTGTTGTAACCAATGTTGCCTCCCCTCGCATCTCAAACATGTGTACATTTCGGCTATTTTCCGTGGCTATATTTCTTACTGCGGCTTTAGAAACTATCTACGCTTACTCCACGATGGATAGTGATCATGAACAAGGCCCTTCCAGGAAGAAAATTGCGAAAGAAAGGCTTGAAAAGGGCGGGAATTGGCAGTGTAGCTGGAAGGCGGCTGAGCGCTCACTCGCGGCTAACGCGCGGCCCGTCTTCAACTCTTCGGCGGTTGGAGCGTGACCAGGTTTTTTATTTTATATGCTAATGTTCCTCTAGAGAATTCAATTGCGAACCCATTGAGACCAAAATGAAAGACCTAGGACGAAAATTGAGGTGACCAGAGTGAAAATAGTGAAAACATTTTATCGCGTTTGCGTGCTCCTGGGTAACTCGTTCGCACTTTCTCTGTTTGCTGCGGGAAATTAGCCGGGCTTTTGGAGTTTATATGCATTTAGTGCTGTAGAGAATTCTATTGCGAACACAATGATACAAAATTTAATCTCGTAGGATGAGAATTAAGGTGACAAAGTTGGAGAGTATACACTTTTCAGAATTTACGCGCGCTCCCGTGACACCCTGGGTCCCATATCGCACAGTTGAGGGGTGGCGCGTGGGGACGCCAAAGTGTTAATAATCTTCCTGGGTGGGAAAAGGTGGGACAGTAAATTGGAAAAGGGTGATCTTCCATGGGGCAGGAAAGTGTCGTTGTTGATGCTCTTGGTAGAGAAGATGAACATTGTACATTTTGAGTACAGTGGCTGTTTTGGTAATCTATTTGCTAGGATGCTGAACTTCAAGAAAGATTGTCAGCAGGGCTTGTGCAGGAGTTGGGGTGAGTTAACCTAAGCATCTTGATACCAATTAAGGCAATAACTTCAGAGATACAATCACTTACATATGGCACATTCAGTGCCTTCCTCATGTTTAGTAATTAATTTGTAAGGGGGCATTTGTGGATAATCCTCATAGCTTCGTTTTGCATCTTTTCCAGCCCCTCCAAGTATTTTCTCAGGCACGGATTAACTGCACACATACTTGCTCAATAATCAGATCTAATATACAAGAGGCAATTTTGGCAATTCTCGCATTTGTGCCATAGTTGGGGTGATAACCTGCCCCAGCCTTGAGAGCACAAAGCCACTCTTTACATTAAAGACCCTTATCTATCTACAACATAACAGTGCATTGTAATCTCAAAACCAAGGTATTTGTATTTGGTTACATCTTCCTGCATCTCTCTGAGAGGCCAGGTTCTGGCTCATTGTCCCCAGTAGGCTAATAGAACTCCACAACTGATGACACTTAGCAGTATGGAACTGATCAGTGTATGATTAGCTTCAGGGAGCCGACAGGGCTCCCTGCAGAAAATGATAGAAAATTCATTTGTTATACAAGAATTGACAAATAGTTCCATATTCTAAGTATACAGCAATTATTCATGGATGCACACATTACGTAATGACTAGAATTTCAATAATCACACTCGATATAAAAAATCACAATATTATACAAGGCTTTGGTATTGATATTGTCAATGTCAAAGCAGTCAGTGACATTGAAGATAATCTGCCTGTGTTAGCCCCCATACATCATCATCTACATCTACAGCAGCCAGTGACATTGAAGATAACCTGCCTGTGTTAGCCCCCATACATCATCATCTACATCTACAGCAGCCAGTGACATTGAAGATAACCTGCCTGTGTTAGCCCCCATACATCATCATCTTCTACAGCAGTCAGTGACATTGAAGATAATCTGCCTGTGTTAGCCCCCATACATCATCATCTTCTACAGCAGCCAGTGACATTGAAGATAACCTGCCTGTGTTAGCCCCCATACATCATCATCTACATCTACAGCAGCCAGTGACATTGAAGATAACCTGCCTGTGTTAGCCCCCATACATCATCATCTTCTACAGCAGTCAGTGACATTGAAGATAATCTGCCTGTGTTAGCCCCCATACATCATCATCTTCTACAGCAGTCAGTGACATTGAAGATAACCTGCCTGTGTTAGCCCCCATACATCATCATCTACATCTACAGCAGTCAGTGACATTGAAGATAACCTGCCTGTGTTAGCCCCCATACATCATCATCATCATCTACAGCAGTCAGTGACATTGAAGATAACCTGCCTGTGTTAGCCCCCATACATCATCATCATCATCTACAGCAGTCAGTGACATTGAAGATAACCTGCCTGTGTTAGCCCCCATACATCATCATCATCATCTACAGCAGTCAGTGACATTGAAGATAACCTGCCTGTGTTAGCCCCCATACATCATCATCTACATCTACAGCAGCCAGTGACACTGAAGATGACACGTCAATTTCTACTAACCGTGCATCATCATCTACAGCAGACGCCTCCACTACTCTACTCTCTCACTCTTAAAAAAACCAGCATTGAATGTAATGAAATGCCCTTTTCTGGGTGAGACCCTGAAGCTCCCTGGTGCTATCCAGGCTGATAACGCTAATATTAGACTCTGGTATCAGTGTGAGTGAAGTTCTTAGGCCTACCGGGGAAGACGAGCTAGAACCTGGCCCCCCTTGGAGAGGCACGAGGAGCAATGGCCTATAGAACCCCCCCCCATGTGGTTGGAAGCATTCTATGTCTGCCATTGACCGGGTCAGGCACCCAGAAAGGAAAATATCCCAAAACAAACCCCCAATTCTGGTTAAGAAATTGCTACTAAGAGCAGAACTAGTGGACAGAACTCTCTAAACAAAAACTTTGCATGATGTCACCACGTCGCCGCGCTACCGTCTGCACAGCTCCCCCCTCCCCGGGAAGGGGGAGGGGGAGCCCCAGACCCCTTGTACCGACCACCCAAGTCCTCAGTTCTGAGGCTGCATATAAAAAATCAGCATTGAATGTAATGAAACGCCATTTTCTGGGCGAGTCCCAGAGGCTCCCCGGAGCTTACCAGGCTGATATGCTAATGTCAGACTTTGGCATCAGTCATGTGTATGGAGTTCTTATGGGCCTACCGGGGACCACGAGCCAGAACCTGGCCCCCCTCTAGAGAGGCAAGGGGAGCAATGGCCTATAGAAACCCCCATCGACCGGGTTAGGCACCCAGAAAGGTAGGCGTCCTAAAACAAACCCCTATTCTGGTGAAAATTGCTACCAAAAACCGAACGAGTAAATAGAACTCCCCAAACAAAAATGAGCAAACTAGTATGACGTCACCCGTCATCGCGCCACTGTCTGCGCAGCTCCCCTCCTCCCCGGGAGGGGGAAGGGGTAGCTCCAGACCTACCCACCAGCGGTCCACACCC